TGATCCTCCCAGGGTTCCCGACTGGCGAGGGCTTGCCTAAGTAAGCTTTCTCCTTCAATGGGACAGTGTCTGCTCTTCTCGCCCCATTCAGTCTCTGAACTGTGTATTCTCTGACAGGAACTCACATCTTAAGAATTTGTATAAAAATTTTATCTTTTCGGGGCCGGCAGGTGGCATGGTGGCTTTGGGCGCTGGACTCTCACATGGCCAACTACGGTTTGAGTCCCAGACCTGGTGGCTTGCTATCTCTCTCTCTCTCTCTCGCTCTCTCGCTCTCGCTCTGTCCCTCTCTGGTCAAATTAAAGTGAATGAATGAATGAATGAATGAATGAAGTTAGATAAATTTCTTGTTTAATATTCATCTTTGCTGTCACGTGGTGGTTTTGGGGTCTTAGTGCCCGGACGGCTCACTCGGCTGTTACGCAGCCTCCCCAGTAGGCTGGGCCAGCGGTGGTTGGTTACTCATTAAACCTCGCTCCTCTGCTCGCAGTTCCCGGAAAGTTCCATTTCTTCTCTCAATAGGAAAGGGGAATCTGAGGGCGAGGCCCTTTGGAGGGTCTCTGCTCCATTTCAAGCTGACCTTGGAAGCCAGGTGCTCAGGGCGGTGAGGCTCAGAGAGGACCCTGGGTCCGACATGGCACTGTCGCACTCCCACCTCGCCCCATGATCAGAAGAACCACATCGTGAGGAAACAATTTTGCTATATTTGGGGGCACATTGAGTAGCATTGAAATGATTTGCTTTTGCTTTTTTTTTCCATCCCCCTTAGAACGAGTGTGCTTGCTGGAGAGAGACCGAGAGAGGGAAAGTGAGAAATCACCCCTCGGGAGATTTTCAAGCCGCCGAGTCTGGGACTCGAGCCCGTGGGGCCAGTGCCTTCAGCTCTATGCCACGCTGGCCCAAGGTGATTTGCTTTTATAGTTAGGAAGAATTTCTCTAAAAACTCTGGCCTGTTTCGAGGGTAGAGAGTAAGAGGGAATGGCTTGATAACTTCATTCCTTCTGTGATTATTGGCTGCATTCATTTTTCTTCTTTACCTGATGTTTTGGTAAAATACATTTTTCCTAGGAAATTGTCCATGTTATCTAAATTTGCAAGTTTATCAGCACAGAATTGAAAGAAGAGGTTGTTCATTCTTCTAAGTTTGTATTTGTAGATATTTCCCCTTTGTCATTACTTATTTTGAGTAGTTCTCTTTTGTTCTTAATTATTTGGCTAGCTGATGATTTATCTGTAGCTTTTTTCAAAGAACAATTTTTTTCCCCTTAGAATTATTTATTTATTTAATTCCATTTGTGTTTTTATTTTATTTATTTATTTATTTTTTGGAGAGGTTTTTGCTATAGGGCACATGTGCTCACCAGAAAGACAGAGAGAGACAGAGACAGAAAGCAAGAAATCACTCCCCATGGGGGATGGCCATGCCGCAGTCCCTTCTCCTCCATTAAGGAAGGTGGTTAAGGTGCTAGACCCCTACATGGCTGACAGTAGTTCAAGTCCCAGACCTGGCGGTTTGAAACTCAGCCGGGTGCATGTGCACGCATGCCCGGAATCTGGAGAGTAGAATGGAGGAGGAGGTTTGCGGTGTGGCCATCCCCCTGGTGGGTGATTCTCGCTTTCTGTCTCTCTGTCTGTCTCTCCAGTGAGTGCTCGTCCCCTATAGCAACAAATCTCTAAAAAAAAAAAAAAAAAGAAGAAGAGAGAATATGTTAGAAAATTCTCAAGTCCTACCCCAGGTCTCCTGAATCAGAACTTCTGGGCTCGGGGTCCAGGGACCCGGGTGTTCAAGCCCCTCAGGGTGCCTGGTGGCCTGCGTGTGCTGGAGAGCCCATGCTCTGGCCCGAGCATGCGCGTCTCTGTGAGTGCCGCCTCGCAGTCTCGCTGTCCCTGTGCGGCCACAGCTCTCCCTCGTATGTTAGGGGCTGGAGCGGGAGCCCGAGACCTCTGCAGCGTCCTTCTCACCACTGAGTAGCCCTGGAGTTTCCCGTCACCATGGACACGTCTGCCGTCTGTTTCCCTGCTCACGTGGTGGAAGGTGAAAGGCGTACTGGATTGGAACGGTGTGCACCACCTGTAAAAAGCAGGGTGGCGTTGAGAAAACCGTGTCCCTTCAGACCCCTCACCGAGCCAGGCTCCCCACACGGGGTGCCGCGTGTCACAGAAGGGACAAGCAGACCTGCGACCCGGGCACTGCCCGTGAAGTTCCCCAGCCGAGAGCGTGGGGATGGGGCAGGGGGGCTAAGGTTGCAAGAATCGGGTGAATCTTCGGCCTTCCTGAAACCCAGATCTTGGGAAGTCAATCCCTTCTGGGTTTGACTGTAACAGAGAGAGGTGTGGCCCAGTTGTGGAACGCATACTGGAAGCTGAGGCCAGGGAGGCAAGGGTTCAATTCCTAGCCGAGCCTCAAGGCCTGGCGCTGTGGTCCCAGCTGTGCAGGACTCAGGCAGGCCCTGCTGAAACAGCACCACACGCACACAGAGAAAGGGAGGGTGAGAAGAGATTGGTAAAGAAGGAGACGGAAGGAGGGACAGCATGCATTTACTGCTGAGGAGTCACTGCCACTGTGGACTTCACTGCAGTCCAGAGCCCGCTGGGCTAGTGAAACTGCGTCCAGGGGGTGGCAGTGCAGACCTTCAGCATGAGTGTCTGCTGGGTTCTTTCTGTCTGAACAGTGGAAGTGAAATAAGCAAAGACCAGGACTTCTCCGAATACAAGGTGCAAAGAAGAAGCCTTTCTCCCTATAAACACCTGGGCATTCCTCTGACTTGAAGTGTGCAGATCATCTCCCATTCGTGGAAGAGGAAGACGGCAGGTTAAAGTGCTTGCTCATCAATTTCCTGAGAGCTTCCTAGTCCCTGGAGCCAAGCAGGCCCTCATCAGAGGGTGGTGCGCAGGTCGAATTCCCTTACGACCAGAGAGTCTTTCTTAAAAAGGAAATCACAGGACCAGCAGTTAGTGTAATGGCTATGTCTCTGGACTCCCACGTAGTCGACCGTGGTTCGAGTCTCAGACCCGGTGGCTTAAACTCACGCCGGGCGTGTGTGCGTGCGTGCCCAAGATCCCAAGAGGAGAATGGAGGAGAAGGGACTGCGGCATGGCCATCCCCCCGGGGAGTGATTTCTCGCTTTCCACCTCTCTGTCTCTCTCTGTCTTTCTCTGTCTCTCCGGCAAGTGCCCTACAGCAAAAACCTCTCTAAAAAAAGAAAAGAAAAAGTGAAAGCACAATTTGCCGGCTCCGCTTGGAGGACCTAACAATGTGGTCACTTGTCACCGTCCCTGTACTTTCAGGCTCAGATTTCAATGTCATCCAACGCCTCTGCGAAGTGTCCGCACTTGACCTGTCCAACCCAGACGTGGAGATTTGGGTGGCGGGTGGCTTGAACAAAGTGGGCCACACTAAAGCCCTCAGCTCAGCCTCCCGGACTGGGGGCAGGAAACGCAGCTGTCAGACGTCCTGGGAAACAAAGGTCTCCTTTAGGATTTCTTTCAGTTCAGATGAGCTGACTGGGGGGGAGGACAGACATGCTGAAACAATGCGGACGGAAATCTCAGAGGTCGTGGGAAGTTTCCCACCGTCGGGCCACGCCCGGAGCTCATTCCCAGCGCCGCCGAGGGGCCCGCAGGCCTATGCCCGGGAGGCCACATTTCCTCTGCAGACTTCTCCTGCCTCCTACCGACATGGGACCGTGACTCTCCCCAGCAAGTAAAGAGTGGCAGGATCTTTTATTAACGAGATCCGAGGCCTATAGATGAAGCACGAAACGTAGGTGCTTGTCTCTGAGACCCCCGAGAGTGCATTCATCGTAGCCCTTCGATGTTGCAGCGTGGCTGGGGAGGGCAGCCCAGCTGGTGGCCGCTGAAAAGCCCCCGTAAAAAACAGCCGGCGCGGGATGTGTCGCCGGAGTCTACAAAGCGAGATTTCCGTGCTGTTCAGACTTCGGTTTCCTTTCCTCACGGGACATTGTCCTTGTGAGAGGAGAGGAGTGCTTCTGAGGCTGTCCTGAGCAGGATGCTACTTAAAGTCCCGCCTCGCCTCTGTCCCGCGCCTGCCGGTGGGGGCGAGGACCTTGGCTCCCACTCCCTGCACGACCTGGTGGGGAGTGCCGTGGCTGGCCAGCCCGACCTCCTGGTGCTCGAGACCAGAGGGAGACGGAAGGGCCAGTGCAGGGAAAGGTTGGGCCGCAGGTTCCCGTTCTTGCTGTCTGTGGCCCCATTTCCTGCGGTGACTCCTGCCCCAGGCCTCTGCCCCGCTCCCTCCTTGCTGACTCTTGAGCCTGCACCTCCTGCCCCCAGATGACCAGGGCTTGCTCTCCCCATCCGCTTGCTGACCACAGCTTTTAGATACACCCCCCCCCCCCGCCTGTCCGTCGTTGCACGTGGCCGGCACCACCTGACGCACCGGGCGTTCGTGCGTGGGACCAGCATCCGTGTATGCCCAGGGCATGAGCGCCATAAGGGGCACCTCCTGTGCAGCGCTGTGTCCCCACGTCGTGCCCGGATGTCGGATATGTCCGGAGGGACCCCTCCTGCTCTGCCATCCCCTGGCACCTCAGGACCAGCACCCGTCTGTGGGCAGAGCACGCCAGCAGTCACCTCCCTGTGCACCTGCCCTGGGCCCTCCTGCAGCTGGGCTGCCTCGGTCAGTGCCCTTCGACGGCAGAGCCTGTGCCACCTTGTCAGAGCGGGCACACGCAGCTGGGTCACCATTTCCAGCTGCTGCATTTCCGGGAACTCCTTGGGGGTTGGAGCCACCATTGCCCGGAGCCCTGCACCCAAGGCCCCATGCACGCCGGCCACCCCCGAGAGCCCCTGGGAAGCGTCTGGTCCGGTGCGGTCCTGCGCCCCCTGCTCCCCGCAGAGCCCGCGAGTCCTTCTCTCCCGCCCCCCATGTGTGCTGCCAGACAGGGAAGCCAGCGCGTTCGCATTTGGTTAAAACACCTCCTGTCCTGTCGGTCTGCTGGGTCACCCGCACTCCCGTCTGTGCAGTGTGCAGAGCACCCGGCTGAATCCACGCCACCTCCTACTGTGGCCCACCTCCATGCGTGCACACCTGGTCGCCGTGCACAGCTCTCCTGCCGAGCTCCTGCTGCAAGTAGATGTTTCGTTTCTCCAGACACAAACATGACATCTCCCATTTCTGCAGTTTGCTGACTTGCAAGTCCCTTAGACTTAAACAGGTGGGCTGTCAGCTGAGAAAGGGGGGTGTCATGAGTGCCCCTCTCAGCCCCGGGAAGCCCTGATGGGCCCCTCCCTGGCCTCAGTTTCCACACCTGGCCCGAGGACACTGCTCCCTTTACTGTGGAAACAGCATCAGGTGGCTCTGAGGACGAGAGTTCTTCCCCACACCACTCAGTTTACCTGCATGAAACCAGAGGTGGGGTGGAAAATAGACGTTTGAGACCTTTTCTATTAGTTCTTGCTTGTCCGTAGAGGAAGCTTATCAATTATACTTCTGTTTCTATCAGAACTCCTGACTGCTCACTCACAAGCCGCAGTTCTTGTCTTCAACACTGCGTGCAGCGTCCCAGGTGAACGGCTGGCACCCGGGACTTGGGGTTTCCCGAGAAAGGGGAGAAAGGAGCCGGAGATGTGGCAGGGTGGGGCGGGAGAATGCTGCTCCTCCTGGGAACTAGCTCATTTTGCAAACATTCTGCATAGCATCTCCGCCCTTATTTAGTTGCTGAAAATAATTAGGTTTGTTTTGGGAACTCTTGACAAACAAAAAATAAGAAGCAATCCGGAGCCTGGGGAGTTTGGCTTTAAGTGCAGACACATGAGTTAGTGTTGGTCGGGACTTGGCCAGGGCAGGTCCGTGGTTATCTTGACGTTTGCTCCTGGTTCCTGGGTTGTTGGCCCGCCCAGCACTTCTCCCCAGGGCAGGGGACTGGGCTTGGCCCACCACTGGTGGCCATGTGTGCTGGGAGGGGCTTCTGTTGGGAGGCCAGGCTAAGTGTCTCTCTCTCTCTCTCTCTCTCTTTTTTTTTTTTTTTTAAGAGAGATTTTTGGTGCGCTTGCCAGAGAGACAGAAAGCTAGAAATCACCCTGTCCTGGGGAGGGATGGCTACCCGCAACCCCTTCTCCTCCATTCTCCTCTCGGGATCTTGGGCATGCACGCATATGTGCCTGGCAGAAGTTTTCAGGCATCAGGTCTGGGACTTGAACAGTGGTCAACTACATGGGAGTCCAGCAATGTAACCATTATGCCATCTGTTGGTCCTCAGGCTGATTCTCAAGACAAAATTGGACTATTCACTGCAAAACACATATGCTTATTAGAAATAAGCATTCCCAGGGCCAGCAGGTGGCATAGTGGTTAAGGCGCTGGACTCCCACAAAGCTGACTGCAGTTTGAGTCCCAGACCTGGCAGCTTTAAATTCATGCCAGCTACATGTGCATGTATGCCCAAAATCTTGAGAACAGAGGAAAAGAGCTTGTGGTGTGGCCATCCCCCTGGGGGACATTTAAAACTTTCCTTCTCACTGTCTCTTGGTCTCTCTCTCTAGCAAGTGTATGTGCCCTATGGCAGAAACCTTTAAAAAATACGTAAAAGAACGAAGCATTCCCATCTTGTGGGGTGGGAGAGACACCGAACGAGTCGTTTTCTTCTAGACTCTAAGAGCTCCACGGCTGAATCTACTTTTTCGAAAATTCCAGTTTATTTTCTATGCATCTTACCACTGCAAAAAGGATTTTATTTCCATGTAAGTATGCTTTTGAGCAAACGTTTCACACAGAGGCACGGGGCGAGAAGGCGTGCGTAGGCATTTCCAAGTTCAGGGAGTGAGAAGTCGCGTTCCCTCAGACTTCTGTCTGTCTGTCCACGACCGAGGGCAGGCACTGGCGTCTCAGCCAGCCGTCCCTCAGCACCAAATAAAGACTGCCGTGCTGAGTGAAGGCAGAGTTGTCTGTTAGGTTCCTCACAGCCAAAGAAATGCAGGAGAGCTTTAATCCAGTGGCCTTTTACGGCTGGAAGGCCGGGCTGCCTTTCTGGGCCCGGCCAGTCGGAGCAGGGTGGATGACCGCCCTGCAGAGTGTCTGCACGTAGGGAATGCAGGGCAGGGCCAGGCATCCAGAATCGTGTCGCATGATCACAATGAGGCACACGCCCAAGGGCACAGCCCGGAGAGTGAGTGGTGATGCTGCCTGCCGGCCTGCTGAGCACAACAAAGTCCCGGTGACGCTCAGGCTGTTTCGGAAACGCTCCAAAACCGGGCTGTGCACACAGCGCGCCTTTTAAACGCGCTGTCTGACGAGGCACAGGAAACACGCTCTTCGTGCTGTGGTGGGTCTGCGGGCGGTTTAAGTGCTGGATTAGTAAGTCACAGCTGCAGAAGTCCCCCTCCTGGCAGGGTGTGTATTCAGCTGACGCCCCTGCCCGTTTCATTCCAGGCTGATGGTCTGCACCATGTCTGGCGCCCGCAGGAAGCTCGCGCTCTTCCTCTGTGGCTGCTACGTGGCCGCCCTGGGAGTCCGCGCCGATGTGCACTGCGTGGCCGGAGCTGAGTGTTACGTGGCAGCCGTGTATGAGCACCGGGCGATCTTGAGTCCAAACCCTCTGGCTCTCACCAGCCGCGAGCAGGCCTTGGAGCTAATGAACCGGAACCTCGCCGTTTATGAGCGGCAAGTGATGACTGCAGCCCAACAGGCAAGAAAGATCCGCTCCCGGCTCCGCCGAGCCCGTGAGCCCTGTGCCCGTCCCTCTGGAAGTCGCCCGGCAGGCAGCCTGGGCGGAGATAGCGGTTCGTGTCCTGTGGCTGAGACAGTGTCTGCACGCGCACCAGCGCTGCTGGGAGCCTGCTCGAGGTGCACAGCTCGGCCCGCCCGGCCTGCTGGATCAGAATCCGCTCTAGCCAGGGCCCCAGTGATGCTTTTGCCCTTCGCGTTAGGGCAGCCACGGGCCAGACACTGGTTCTCAGATGTGGCTGTCATCAGTCAGGGGGTCCCAGAGCCCACTGCAGTTGGCCCAGGTGGTCCGGGCGCGGGGACCTCTGAAAGGCTCCCCAGAGGACTGGGAGGGCACTGGGCACAATGACCTTGTACCCCGAGGCACTCAGGGCCCCCCGAAGTAGCAGCACCCCCAGAACTGCCCTTCTCTGCCCTCGAGCAGGTGGGGCTCGTGTCTGGTCTCCCTGTTGCTGTGAGGTGCCCGAGACCTCCGCCCCGGCCCAGCCAACCCGGCCGGCAGGGCCCAGCTTGCCAGCCTTTGCACCAGGGAGGGCGAGCACGGAGGAGAGGTGCCCCGGGGCACAGGAAAACCCGCCCGGGAACCCACCACAGGTGGAAGTGTGGGCTCCCACGGCGCTGGGGAGGGCCGCGCCCGGCTGCCGGAGGAAGTCCTGCTTGCCTGGCCAGGAAGGAGGTGCCATGTGAGCGACACCGCCGTCTGCGGGTTTTGAAGGCAGGCTTTTCAGAAAGGGACACGTCGGCGTGTGTTCCGGCTCCCCGGCTGGTTCTGGTGCACAGCCAAGGGTAAGAGCCGCTGACCTCTACATGCTATATCCGTCAGTGGGCCCGAGGCCCGAGGCCCTTCCCGACCGCCCACCACTGGAACCCCAGATTCCTCCTAGCCGCTAGCTCGGGAAACTCCTGCCCTCAGCGGAGCCGACCCACTCCCGCCCTCCCGGGCACCGTCCCACGCACAGCCAATGACTGTCCCTCGAGGCCTCTGTCTTTGTCACCTTGGCCAGGTGAGACAGCGGCCACAGCCCTGACCCCTGAGGGTGAGTGTCCATCCCTGTAAATCTGATCCCTCATACAGAGGAACTTCTTGACGGTAGTCAGAAGGATGAATGGGGGGGCTGGCGGGTGGTTAAGGTGGCTGGACTCCCACGTGGCTGACCACAGTTCGAGTCCTAGACCTGGCAGCTTGCGTTCTCACTTTCCTTCTGTCTGGCTGTCTCTGGTCAACTTCAAAAAAAAAAAATGACAATAAAATTAAATAATTCTTAAAAAAAAAAACAAATGGAAGAATGAAGTGAGCTTCCTGTCCCCAGGGCCTGACCGTACTTTGGTGTTCTGATTTGCAGGGAGTCCAGATCATAGTGTTTCCAGAGGATGGCATTCATGGATTCAACTTCACAAGAACATCTATCTACCCGTTTTTAGACTTCATGCCGTCTCCGCAGTTGGTCAAGTGGAACCCGTGCCTGGAGCCCCGCCGTTTCAATGACACGGAGGTATGTCAAGGTTCCGGCCTTCCTCTGCAGAGGCCAGAGGTGTGCGGGATGGGCCAAACCAGGGCCAGAAGCCACCACTTGTTTTGTTTTGTTTTTTAAAGAATTATTATCATTGTTAACATTATTTTTCACATGAGTTTTGCCAGAGAAGGACAGAGAGGGAGAGGGAGAAAGCAAGCTGCCAGGTCCGGGACTCAAACCATGGCCAGACATGTGGGAATTCCAGCACCTTAAGCACCATGCCACCTGCTGGCCCACCACTTGTTAACTGGGATCCAGAACACCGAACCCCAGCCCCCACCCCACAGACTCATTCAGTTGAAGAATGCCTGGTATCCGGAGGCATTTACTTATCTGTGGATCTTTTCATTTCCCAATTATACAAGAAATACATGAATATATACTTAATGTAAAAACTTTTCAAAATAAAAGTTACCTTCACCACTGCCTACCCCTTTATCCTCCTTTCTTTTCCAGAGGAACTGCCGTCAGTGATTTTTCACATGAGTTTTGCCAGAGAAGGACAGAGAGGGAGAGGGAGAAAGCAAGCTGCCAGGTCCGGGACTCAAACCATGGCCAGACATGTGGGAATTCCAGCACCTTAAGCACCATGCCACCTGCTGGCCCACCACTTGTTAACTGGGATCCAGAACACCGAACCCCAGCCCCCACCCCACAGACTCATTCAGTTGAAGAATGCCTGGTATCCGGAGGCATTTACTTATCTGTGGATCTTTTCATTTCCCAATTATACAAGAAATACATGAATATATACTTAATGTAAAAACTTTTCAAAATAAAAGTTACCTTCACCACTGCCTACCCCTTTATCCTCCTTTCTTTTCCAGAGGAACTGCCGTCAGTGATTCGATGTGCGTTCAACACGGTCTCTTTCTATGCGTTTCCTATTTACTGACATCTCTTTGGCATGCTGCGTGCTTATTCTTTCAAACTCTTGCCACTGGGGCCGGCAGGTGGTATGCAGGTAGAGGCGGTTGGGTCCCTATGATTGACTGCATGGTGCGAGCCCCAGACATGGCGGCTTGAAAACCGAACCCGATGCCAAGAGGAGAGCAGGAGAGGAGAGATGGCAGGGTGGCCGTCCCCTCTTGGGGAGTGATTTCTCACTTTTCTTCTCTCTCTCTAGCAAGTGCATGCGCCCTACAGCAAACTGAAAAACAAACAGCAAACTCTTGCAGTGTTTCCGTAAATGCCCTTAAACATGTACTTTTATAGAAATGTCTGAGTTCTTCTATGAGGTGAAATCCCTAGAGATGGGCTTTCTCAGAAGATACGCAGTTGACATGACAGTGCACCGGTTTTCCCTCTGAAGCACTTCGATTTCGTTCTATCTTCCCGCTAACGGTATGCATGCCCGTTTCCCCACTCGTCGGGCAATGCGAAACAGCAGAGCCTTTTGCAT